TTGCACTTGCATTTGTTGTTGAGCTCCTCCGGGTTGTCCATTCCATCCGGGCATCGCTTGCCCCCTATTCATCATTTGTCCGCTATGGTAATGAGGACCAAAACCCTCTGCCTGTCCGGGTCCATAATGTTGATAACCCCAATTCATTGGGTTATTACCCGCCTGCCGTCTATCTCCTCCTTGACCTTGATCTCTGCCCAAGTAATAATACTCGGTATCTTCTGGTGGGAACCCGCCCCTATGGTTAGCATAAATTCTTCCACCTTCTGGCCTCCTCCTTTGATAAGTCTCTTCGTACCGCCCTTGATTTGCCTCTCGTTCTTCTTGACGAGTATAATAATGGCGGGCTCCCAGATATTACTCTGCCTCCCAATTTTCCTCCTCTAACTGTTCGCCCTCCATATTCTGGTATTGTCTCGTTCTTCCCGTTCTCCGAGCATGATCCTCATATGCCCGCTCTTCCATTCTCGGATTTGTTCCTCGTCCTCTACCTTGATGGCGGTAGGGATCACCTTTGGCTCCCATACGTGGGTTAACTAACTACCCATCCGAATAAGATCCTTCCGGGTCCCATCAACCGTTATCATTGGCTAGTGTTACCCGGACATATGAACCCGGAACAGATATCAAGTAGGAAACTCATCCTCCTGTAATGGATTCTTTTGTTCTTGCCAATTTGATGTGTCCTATACTTGGGTGTTTTCAGTTTTATTTCTTATGGACCCGAGAATCTATAAACTTGCAGTATTCAATAAAGCAGGCTATTTCCAACAACAAAAAAATCTATTTCATCCTTTTGGACTTGCATAAAAAATGACATTGTCATTTTTGCTATCATTTACAGATACAACAAATCAATCATGTATGAATATAGCACATTTGAGCGTAAGTTTTAGGAAAAATACGACCTCTAGTTTTGCAAAAAGACCACGTACAACACCCATACAACATTCATCAAAAAGGACCAAGCAACACACTTAGAACAATCGCTTCCTGCAGCCTGGGGCTCCACAGTAGCATGGCATTTGCTTTATCTTCCCATTGGAGTCAAAGACACTATCAAGCGCATAGCCATAGTCATATGTCAGCTCCTGCAAGAAATCAAAGAGATTCAAAACATGTGTCAAAGACTTCAGAATAAAACCCCAAAAGAGAAAACACCAGTACACAAGACTCTCAGACTTTCTAGGATTGGGAGTATGCCCACCCTTACACTTCCATTTTCACACTGTGACATCCACTAGTCACATATATAGGGGTGTAAATGGATCAGGTTAGGTCAGGTTTTGACTTTGATAGACTAAACTTATGTAAACATTTAAAACCTACACTGGCCTATTAACCTATTAAAGGCTTGATTTATAAGTCTGGTCTGGCTTATTATAAAAAACATAAAGCAACATGGAATGTAAGGCCTACCAAGTTACAAACTAAAGTTTATAGGTTAAATTTTCATAAAGATCACATGAAAGTTTTTTATTCTATGCAAGAATAAACCCCCCCAAAAAAAAAAAAAAATAACGATTTTACTAAACAAAATTAGGTTTTAAGTCTTGATTGACCCATGTAGCTGATCCCACAAAGCAGGACAAGCTGTGGTTATAGTTGTTGTAAATGATATAAAAAAGAAAGAGAATAAAGAAGGTATATCTACTACCCACAAATCCTCCCAAAATCTAATTCATGAATCATCCCAAAAACAATAGGTAACAGAAGGAAGAAAATAAGCATGGCTATAAAATAAATTTCAACAGTCTAAAGTGAGTTGACATAGTTATCACCATAATTATCAATAACAAATATCAGCAAACATGTTAATTTTCGGCCACATCCCCAACCCCAATATGTTAACAACAGCCCCAAGAAGATAAATCGGGGGAATATAGAAAATGAGTTACCTGCAAAGGGGATATATTGTCGGAAGAAAACAACACTACTCGAGCCAATTTCAAATCATGGTGTGTGCTCAAAACACATTGAACAAACAGATTAGGCTCGCAACAATGGTTTATAAACCTAGCAATATTTCCAGTAGATCCTGCATCAATACAAAACTCCGGCACACTTTCAGAACCTTGGTCATCGCATTTGTCCAAAAGATTTGCAGGAACTGCTACATTATTTGACCGCCTCTGTCAAAATTAATGTCACCAAAGAGACGAGAAAAGTTCTAAACATTTAGCAGAAGTAGCTGAGAAAAATATAATCACATGATAAGGTTTCAAAGGATTCAATACCTCTCTTCCACCAAGCCCCTTGATTGTTTGCAAGCAATCTATGTCAAAAATATAATTGTTTTCCAATACACTTTCCATATCTTCCGTCCTAGCAAGTATTCCTGTGTACTCACAAACTGGGGCTCCAGAAGGTATAAAATCCCAAGTTCTAACGGCCCATCCTTTCTTTGCAGTACGGAAAACCTATGTAACAATTTAGTTGAATAAACAAAATTAAAAACTCAGTATAGTTATCTTAATAATCTAAAGATCTTAGGATACCAATACAATGTGCTACCTCCAAACGATATCTAAGTCCTCTTTGAGAAGTTCGGTTCACACAACCAGGACCACAACCACATTTGGGGCCACATTCAAAAACTACATCTTTGGCTTCAACTAACCTGTCAATTTATACATAAAAGCAACCACATCAAATATTACAGCAAACAAAATTTAAATGCCATTTCACCAATCAAGTTTCTAACCTGCCACCATCCCGAGATACATAGGGAAAATCTGAGCCATTAAGCAACGCACATTCACAAGTTTTCGGATCAATACAAAAGCCTTTGCATTTGCACCCAGTAGCATTTTTGGGAACCGTCACATTATTTGCAACCTTGACGGACTTATAATATGTGAAACCTATAATATTTAAAAATCAGACACCAAAGTAAGCACAAAGCAAAATTTAGCTTTCATAATATTTAAAAGTACAATGGTGAACATTATTATATAATCATCACAACATGAATCTGACATAAAAGGACATGAGCAGGTGGATAACAAAAATAATAATAATAATTCCACTTCTCCAAGAAGAAATGAATTTCCATCCAAGCATAAAGAGACAATGATGACTATCAACAAATGTTAGAGGATAAAGGCAGAGTTATTAAAATTTTATGATGATTTTTACTACGCTACCTTCCTTCCATAGCTACCATAATAATGAGCTAACTCACAAAGTAAATTCAAGAGTAAATATCTACTCAACACATAAGAGAATTAGCATATCTTGGATCAATAATAAAAGATTAAAAAATATAAGATATTCTAGCACTGAAATTTTAAATCAACAGCAATTAACGCTTGGACCCACCCAACAACATTCACAGCTTGAAATAAAGTGACAATCAGTGTGTGAATATATATATATATATATAATTCATCAACCAAAAAAGGGAATGAATCCTCTTATGTGTAAATTTCATATGACATGATCATGTGAAAATTGTATTTATCTCTCTTTTTATAAATATCACAAATGTTGATAGGCCACCCGATTTAAAGCTTGAGAAGAGAGAGACATAAAATTTACAAATGACCATATCATGTGAAATTTACACGAGAGGATCCACTCTCACCAATAAAACAGGGGATTCAAATTGCAAACCCCGAATTCAACTTGCCTGTGGGTGAAACAGGGGGGTCATCAACCAAATTCGTAGCAGGAATGGGTGGATGTTCCTGACCTCCAGTGATATCCTTACATACCAACCTAAGCAAAGTATAAAAGATGTTAGCCTAATATAATTGGGATAAAGCATATTAAATATTCAATTTACAAAAGTTTCTTCATTGATTACTGATGGGCCTTCAATAAATATCCAAGCCCATTAGTTATCATTTGTTAGGATTAGTATATATAGACATTTAGGGTGAGGTTTCATTATGCATGTTTTCAGATAAATTGGAGTGGGGAATTGGGAGAGGAAATAGGGGTGCTCTCAAGGCTAGGGATGTTGCCTTGGAGTGGACTTTTTCCTCTAGGTGTCTTTCTATGTTTGCATTACTGTAATTTGTTGTTAATCTGTATCTGATTTCATTTTATATCAGTGTTATTTTTCTGGGTTCCATCAATTACCCTTGTATTTGTTCAGATGACTGAGGTATGGGTCCACGAGTGAAATAAACCTGTCATCACAACAAAATAAGCTAAGATCCTTTAAAGCCCCACTGCTTGGATTGCAAAATCAAATCACCCTAAAGGAAACAGATGAAATATGACTATCAATATGAATCTAGATAAAGAGAATTACAACAAAAAAGATCATGACTATACACAGCTCTACAACTAGTCATTTGAATACCTACAAAACGAACATTAAACTGGGGAAAGTAAGAAAACTTCTTTTTGATTAAAAAAATCATGGGACACAGCACACATATAACATAGGAAGAAGCTAAATGCTAGTGGGTTACTAGCCGTCAGATATCGATCTTCTCACTGCTCTTTCTCTGAAAATTGCTACAATGAACTTTGTAGCATTTTCTTTGTATATAACTAATTATAGGAAATCACAAGAGTTGGCAAGAACACATGTCAAATAACTAAATACTGTTACACATTCGTGTGTTCTAGTTACTTTTGTAGTTCAGTTAGATTACTTATTCTTTTATACTTGTATTAGAGCTATATAAATATGAACTTGTAGAATTTATCTCTTTGATAAAACTAGAACAGCCTTGACAGATTGGTCAGGGCACTTTCATGCTCAAACTCTTTGGGTTTATCTCATCTCTATTAACCAAACCCATTCTTAGACTTCACCAAACAACTAAGGCTTTTAGGTTTATTACTATTTTAGCATCACCAAAACTTTTTTGTAAGACTAGTACTTTCCTATAACACTCATTTAGCAGCTCTTGGTTGGTAAGGCACTGTGTGAGACCCTCTACTTTGAGGCAGTTTTAATGGTTCGTTATGAATGTTTTGATGAAAACAAGAAAGTTGAAATCTTGTGGCAGCATGCAATTTATGCAGTTCTATAGTGTAATTCAATAGAGGAGAACACTTGCATTTTCAAGTTTCCCCTTTTCCCCTTTACTCTTAAACTTGTTATGCATGGGATAGGATTTCGTTTATGGCTGCTTTAGGTGCTATTCCCATAAGGCCATAACTATTTCCATTTCCAATTTACAGAGCAAGGGACTGGCTTTTTTGTTGTATCTGGACTCCATTTTTCGTCTAGAAGCACCTTGTTGCCAAGGTCAACTCGAGGCTCAAGGGGGAATCAGTCCTACACCCGAAGGGTATGGGGAAACCCCATTTACATCTTTCTACCCCCAAAACCTCCCAAAAAAAAAAGAATCAATATCTAAACAAGTAAATGGGTAAGAATTAAAGTGTAACAAACTCAATCTAAGAAATCAAATAGCAACAAAATATATGGATGGGCCGTTGCTTTTCCCATAGTTAAGCTATTACGTTCACATGTTTAAACCAGAATTCAACATCCCCATTATTTCACTTTGAAAGTTTATCAAGTCACTAGGTCACAACTACATTACTGAAGGTCAATCCTGAGGAATGTATCATAGCCATAAAAATTTATTTAGCTTCTTCACTTCTCCATTTTCATATATAATGCCTTCTAATTAAATTCCAACCTCTGCTTTATGATAAATATGTAGTGATTTTACCACACACAGGCAATAAAACAAGAAAATATTTTCTAGATGAAACTAGAACAAATATAATTAACCTGATTAGTGGTTAATGTAGACTGCCCTTCAAGTCTCCTAAGTCGAAATTTATATACTATAAATCCAGATATTCCCTTTTCTAGCCAATAGTTGACAACCTGCAAAACAAGAAAAGAAAGGGCATAAAAGATTTGAAGTATCACACCAAAAATTGGAAGTAAATCGTGTCTCCATATTCCATATCAATCTGTTTCACCAGTTAAAAAGTGCAATTTTAGAGACCAGAGTAAATGCACTTACGATAACAACTAAGAATTCAAATTGGAAGAAATTTATCATCAATGCTAGCTCCTTAAACCAATTGTTTCAGGTGCCAAAATAAATCATGAAAAGAAAGCTTCAATTCTTTTCTCAACAAATTATTACTAATAGATTGCCTTTGATAAACAGTTGGAGAAGAGAAAGAGGGATTTTATCCTAACGACATCAGATGGAAAGATTTGTGGACTTGCTGTTGACAATGTCATTTTCAAGACGAGATTATATATATTATATCAACGCAGTATTATGCAAAAATATTGGTAAAGAAGAATGAGTCAGGTTATATTTACAAACTTTTTTGTTTACAAACTCTTACAAACTACACTATGTTCTCCCGGGAGAACACTGATTACACTATGTTCTTCCGGGAGAACATAGTGTAATTTGTAAATATTTTCAAAAAAAGTTTGTAAACGGATCCGTCCCCAAGAAGAATAGCCTGTTAGCAGCAGACCCCTAAGTTGCACTAGAATAGATAAACTGAAGAATGCCTCAGGTATTTATTTTGTGAGATTGCCTATAAATTAAATGAAGAGTTTAATTAAATTTCACTTATAGCCCCAATGTGATATGGATCAGAATGTTGTGAAGCTAATGGAAACTATAAGTAAAAGATAAAGCTTATTTAAATAAAAAATGTTATGAAGGATGAGTGTGCATACCCGGGTTGAAAAGATCTAAAATGAGATCATTAGGAAGAAGGTTGGAGTGCCTTCTATAAAGGAAAAAAAATGGTGGAAAAAAAAACCATTTAAGATGGTTCCCTCATGTTAGACAACATATTTAAGACCTGGTCATCCGATGTGAAATTACGAAGGATGCCCCTTTAAATAGATGTGTCAAGTGTTTTTTGCTTTCAAAATACTTTGGAATTTGATAAGACACAATACAACCAGCAAAATTTTAATGGCCCAAGTGCCTTGTTGCACCTAGTTACGTCCAAAAATAAACCAATTGACATCTTAAATAATTGACCCAGTTTGGTGGACATTTCAATAGTCCAAGTCCAACCACTAAGGGCACCTACTTCCAAGAAAAAATGCAAGTATAGTGAAAAATAAATAAGCAAAAGACAGCAAATACTGAACATCACTTGAGGAGAGAGACCAAAGTCTCTGTAAATCAATTTGGGTTTATACCAGGAAGATGTACCATGAAAGCCATTTTCTTGTTGCGACAATTAATAGAAAGATATCAAGAAAAAAATAAGGACTTACAATAGGATTCCAAGAAAAGTTCTATGGTGGGTTCTTGAGAAAAAAAAAATACCATCAAAGTATGTCAATGCAATCAAAGATATTTATGATGGTACTATTACATGTACGAAAATTTGTAATGGAACATCAAATTGTTTTCCTATCACGGTAAGTGTACACCAAGGTTCTGCTCTAAGTCTTTATCTCTTTGCCCAAGTTATGGATGAACTAAGAAAAGATATTCAAAAGAAAGTGCCATGGTGTATGCCTTTTACATATGATATCGTGCTTATTGATGAGACCAAGGCTGGTCTTAATAGAAAACTAGAATTGTGGAGAAACATGTTGGAGTCTAAAGGATTTACATTAAGCCAGAGCAAGATTGAGTATATGCAGTGTGATTTTTCTGCGGTAAAAGATGGAGATCAAGATTATGTGCATCTGCTTGGACAATAGGTAATAAAGGAAGACACTTTTAGATGTTTGGGATCAATTTTGCAAAAGATGAAAAGTTTGATGAGGATGTAAATCATAGAATCAAAGCAGGGTGGATGAAAAGGCGTAGTGCACAAGGATTTTTGTGTGACCGCAAAATTCCCTAAAAAAATTCTATTGAACAGCAGTAAGGCATGCAATGTTATACGAGCTAAATGTTGAGGAAACATGTGCATAAAATGGGAGTAGCGAAAATGAGAATGTTGAGGTGGATGTGTGGTCATAGTGATACGAGGATAGATAAGATAAGAAATAAATATATTCGACGAAAGATAAAAGTAGTACCGACGGCTGAAAAGATGAGAGAACATAAATTGAGATGATTTAGGCACGTAATGAGAAGACTCAGTCATGCTCCGGTAAGAACTAAAGTTTGTTACCAAGAGCTTGATACAAAAAAAGGAAGAGATATACAGAAACTTATTTGGAGAAGGTAATAAAACAAGACTTAATGGAATGCAATATAGATTGGTAGACGGTGTGTCTTAGAACGGATTGGAAAAAGGCTATTTGCATGGTAGAGGATTAGACTCGTTTTTCTTCCTATGTTTTAGATGATCCTTTTTTAGTCTTTTTCCTCTTTATCTCTCTTTCTTTATTTACCTCCCCTTTTATCTTTGTCCTTTTTTTAATTTCTTTCCTTCTTTTTTATTTTACTTTTTTTGTCCATATTTTTTTTTTTTACTTACTTATTCTTTTTTGTCTTCTTATGTATCTTTATTTTCACTTTATTTTAATTTATTTTTCCTATTAATTGTTTACTACTATTTTTTATAGATGATGTTATATATATTTTTTTTAAATTTATTTTTAACTTTTTTTTTCAATCTTTTTGTACTTTTCATTTGGGTTCATATGCTATCGACCCCAATTAGTTCGGAATAAAGGTGTTATTGATGTTGATATTGATTATAACTACAAAACCATATTTTCATTATTAAGATTTGATTTTTAAGCAGTCTATACAGATATTTTTGCCCAAATTAGAGATCCAATTAGTAATAAGAAACATGTTTGAGTAATATTTTCAAAGAATTACCTTGTACAAACCATCATAAGTGTAGACTTTACCAGAGTAACTGCTCGAAGATTCATGACCACGAACCACCCTAACAGGAACTAATTGCTCAACGCAGTTCTATAATTGAGATCAATGTAGGTTAGACGTGCCCTTGTACAACAAATAGAGTTCAATTGTAAAGGAAAAGGAATCTTACCCAAATACAGATAATAAAAAATATAACGTGAGATATATAAATAACATTTCGCAAACACAACCTATTCCTTAAACAAATAACATGATTCATAAACAATATCACTTCAATAATTTCAACAATGCATGAAAATAAAAGTTTACAAAAATAAAAATAAGGATCCATGGCTGGTTATTTCTGTTCTTATGAAATGAAACCAAATTGTGCATGATATAATCCTGTTCTAGACCAGTTAAATGGTCCCAACTTCCTCTCCCCACTACTAGACATACATTATGCATTTCCACTCCACCACTCTCTCTCAACTGCCCTCCACTACACATAACTACCCGCTAAGCACACTATCACATCACTAGTCACCTGCAAAACACCCACTATGTGCATGACCTCCCTACACCTCATCTATATAACACCCCAGAGTGAATGAGGGGATAATCTTTTCATTATTCATAGGATTTACCACCATGTTTACAACCTTCACACTCTCATATCTTGTACCCAAAGCACATTCATTCCCTTCTCATTTCGCAAGTGACTCACACATGCACCCCTGATTATTACTCATTAAGTTGTTGGCTGGAGATAGTGATTCATCATTATTAGACATCTTTATTGAGCATCCGTATATAAAAACACCAGCTACCATCAGTTGAACATCACCAGTTCAACCCAACTAAACAAATCCCATTCTAATTTTATAATTTGTAAATATATATGATGCTAATTATGTACCAACCATTGCAGACATTATTATGATGTACAGTAGCATAAACCTTCCACCAAAAAACAATCCATAATTCCCCATTTTTTAATGAAGCAGATAGCAAAATTAATCTATCAATTATACCACTGAAAGGAAACAAGTTATTATCATATTTCAAAGGTATTGAGATATCATCAAAAAGACTACCCACCTTGAGTGCTAGATTACCCGACTTTAATTGTTGATCCGCAATTTGACGCTTATCACCGGTCAGATTATGCCCACCTTGACCAGTGTACACAACATCCTCAGCGTTATCCACATCATCCTCATACATGCCAGACAAAACAATGCACACAGCAACAGGGAATTTGTAGCTGTTGTCCTGTGACAATCAAGAGAGAAAAAGTAAACATCTAATATAGATTTATATTGAACATTCAATTCAAAAACATATTGTATGATAAATGCATGTATAATTTGTGATCTTTAATGCTCCAGCCAAATTAGAGTAAGCAAATACAACATTCCAAAAAGAAATTGCATTACCACTTTTTTATTGTACAAGGACATAGAATCAATCCCGTTTAGCCAATGACTATGCATGCCAACTGCTACCATTTCACAACGAGAACAGAATTGATGCCCAACTTCAACACCTGCCATTAAGAGAAATTAAAATCACTAAATGAGAATTGAGAGATAAGCTAATTATAAAGTACAACAAAATATCATCGTGCATATGATAAGCTAATTATAAGAAATAACATTTGTGAGAATTGAGAGATAATATGTAGATAATATCATTTAGATGAAAAAAGACTAGCAGTTAGAGCAACACAATATGAAGCTAACAACCTGGAATGTTGCCAACTCTTTTCACAGGGTACAGTATCTCATTATTATTCATCATCTGTCAACAATCTCCAATTTGAAAATAGTGTTAAAAGATAACAAGAGCAGTGTTTTTGGAATGTACAATTAAATCAATTTCAATTAATCAAATCAAAACAAATGATATAAAACAAAATTAATAAATTGAAGACTATACATTATCAAAAAATAAACTTAAGTTTATTTCACATAATTATGAGATATTATGTCATTAAAATAGTCTAGTAGATTGCTACTAAGAGACCTCTCTTAACTAACCAATTAAAAAATATTGATAAGATATTAGGCATCCATCACTACAAGAGAAAGAACAAGGATAGACAAAAGATGAATAAGGTAATTTCATCACAATGCTGTTGAAAAATACCAGGAAAGCAAAATCCTATACTTGATCATCACATAAACAATTATTATGACACCTGCAATCAAGATTCTGCTAAAAAAAATTGATATTTCACTTGCCTTTGGTATGGCCTTCAGATCAGGCCTCTTGGCTTTGGACTTTAAATCTTCAGGTGGAGCGCCTTTCTACATAAATTAACACAAGAAGTTTTGTTGCTAGCTTATTGTAAAATGATTAATAAAACAAAACAAAACAAAAAAAAACTCAGTGAAACAGTTCAGCTTTAAAGTTCAATATACAATGAAGTAAGATTTAAAGCTCTTAACAGACATTGAAACACACTACTAATAAAAGCACATCTTCTTCACTCCAACTGTTATCACTTCACCAAAAAGGAAAAAGAAATACATTTTAAGTATTAACTATAACTGGGAATTCAAAATAAGTTTGACAACGTTCAACGTAGAAACATTTAGCATATTTGCCTTGTATGACAAAACTATTCAAGCAGTAAATGATGTTTGAAGACACAATATCTGTTATGTAAAAAACTTCCCAACTTAAAATTGGAAAAGAGGTGGGGGCAAAAATGTGAGCCGGATACTGCATAGACCCATGTGTTAAGCTATTATAGTTTAGCCCAATAATGAAATAAAATGCAGCTTAATACTTGTAAGAAAATTTTGCTAATACCCAACCAAAAGTCCAGAGTCATACCTAGCAAAAAGCCTGTTATCACTAAAAAAAACCTAGTAGGGAAGCAGCTAATAGTCGGTTTCAGCTGCTAGCAGACTAAAGACAACCAACCACCAAAAGTTCCAATCAAAGGAAAAGTAATCTACAATATTTATAGTAGTACACAGTTCAAAATTTCCATCCCCAAGTATGATCATTACAGAATTATTTTACATAAGAAATGGACTCGTAAGCATTTTTTTTTTCTTATAATTTATGTTGGGGGAGAGATAACGACATAAATATGATAACACACAAATAACAAACAGTGATTAATAATAAACCAACCTTAGATTTTGAAACATTTTTAGCTGCTTTCTTCTCATTAGATTTTAAAACCTTTTTAGCTTCTTTCCTTTCAGCTTGTATCTTCCCACATCTCGTCTCCTCTTCCTGTACGTGTTAGAAACATAGCTTCAACCAGAACATACCAAAGACCAAAGTGAGTCAAATAGACTAACCAAAGAGTGCGAGATGCAACAAACCTGAATAAAATGAAGATAGTGTTTGTTAAACAACCGAATCGTTTCCTTCACCTTAACAGAGTCACTCTTTTTAGCCAAAACCCCAACTGCATTTTCAAAATATGCAATGTGACCATATGACTGTAAGACACGTACCTTCCTTGGTGGAAAACTAGAAAGGAGAAAAAAAATAAAAATTCATGTACAAGGGACAAAACCAAATGACATCATGGTCTGTAATAATGCCATTTGTATTGCCTAATAAAACGCCCATTTGCATAAAAAGTACATAATCATTCTGCTATCTCTATGGAAAATGCACGTGAAAAATCTTAAAACCTCTGCAAATGACAAAAATAAGAGGACAAATAATAGAGATCATTTGTTTCCTTGTAGGAACCACCTATGACACTACTGGTGGTATAGTCCTAGCCACTGTTCATCATCTAACAAATAATCAATTATAGGGAAAATGGAATAGTCTCTATAGACTTTTGTTGACCTTATAGCAATTGTATCAGAAAAAACCAACAATAACAACATTTATGGCTAACCAGTCTAGAATCCAAACTCCATTTCCATTTCATAGCTTCTTCATTTTTATGGTCCTGCTTTTAATTTTGACATATAAATTTGATTTATTTCTTGATAATCATATAAATGTAGCTGTGTCACAGAAAGAAGTCACTTTCATCATTATCTTAAATTGAAAATTTTGAACCACTACTATGTGGTGTTGTGGAAACAGAAAAGAATAAGGAGTGCAATTTATGAAACTCCACAAAATGACATTTGCATGATTGCAACTCACATAGTGCAGGAGAATATGTGAACTTAACAAACCTGAAAGACATGCAATCGTTGGTGTTTTCTGAAGTTCCCTTGATTCATTCACTTGATCTTGATCCTGCCCTCTATTATTAATATTTGGAACTGCATTGGACTTGGGAAACTCAACAAGTTTGGAGTACTTAGCATAGTTGATCAATCTGGTATCATCAACAAAAACACTTCTGTCAAGCTTCCTAGGATCAATTACAGATTGAGGATCACGGGTAGTCATGCACACAGCTGTTGAAGTCTGAGAGTGGCACATAAAATCCTTTCTCATTTTCCTGTTACTGGTTTTCATGCTCATCATAGGTTACTACACAGAAAAGTGAGTCTTTTGAGTTAGGGGAATATTAGTGTTCAACAAAAAGTGCAAGCTAAGAAGGAAGTAAATGAGGGTATGATGTTAAAATATATTAGTATTGCAATGCTAATGCTGGTTTTCTGAGTGGGAGAGAATTGGGGAAAGTGACAATCCCATGAGCACTTCTAAAGGAGTTAGATTTAGCTAATAGTTCAAGCAATTCTAAAGGAAAAATAATGGTATACAGGTTGAAATTGAACTTGTAACAAAACTGAAATATATATACAACAATCATGTCAACCCGAAAAGAGATAATGGACATCTCAAAAACCCTTCCTAGCAAGGTTAATGGTGGGTGTATGTGAGAAAGAGACAGAGAAGAGTTAAGTTTCACTTTATACAAAAAAAAGAAAAAAATTACTCCCCGTTAAACCCGACTAAACTTCAAAAAAAAAAAAAATCATTGACAGCATTCACGTGTTCTTTGCTTTTTTTCTTTTTTTCTTTTTTGCTTTTCAGGTTTCCCACCATTTTTTTAAGACCAATATCTTCTTCTCTATGATTGTTTCAGACCTAGAACATTGAAAGGGTAAACAAAAAAAAATAAGAAACAGGGAAATTTTCAAAGCAAAGAACACGACACAGCTGTTCATGGAAAAGTTAACATCACTTATCAACGAATGGTGGCAGGTGGCAGCTTGCAGCTCAATTCCGATCACTAATGTCCAGATTGCAGCTCGAATAGATACTGACCATTGACTATGGTCAATGAGTTAGAGAATTAGGAATCTGTATTGGTACGAGACTGTACATTACAGCTTATAAATATATGAGAAATATAATTGGGATGACATTATATAAGGAAAAGAAAAGGAAAAAGTTAGTTCATATAATTACATAGAGTAATAGCGACACTATCAGAGTAATGCTTCCGTAAATTATAATAGATTATGTTGCGCTTAATACCACAAGGTGTTATAACTGACTATGCTTCCTTTCATATGGGCTTTTGGTGTTTACTATGGGCCGATTAATCTTTTGTTCCTCTTGTTGTTTGCATATGATCGCTGAGCTGTTGTTCCCCATTTTCTCAACAATGCGCAAAGTTTTCAATATTTAAACTTTTACAGATGCTCAGCAATACTTACAGCTCATCTCTTGAATAGAACAGAGAGTGAAGTGTTACAATAATTACATCCACTAAATTGACAAGAAAACTAATTTTCTCACACCATAAACCAAGCTTTATGAAAGCAGGCAAATTAATCTGTAAACAATGTTATGGTTGCCACGAATAGAATCTAGACCTACGTTAACAATAAGTATACTTGCAACTTCCAACTGAATACAGATTTTTATGAGTCCAGAACAAAAATGTAATTAAATTTGTCATTAAATCAAATCCGAAGCATTCAACTCTTGAGTCCAAATAGTTACATAGCTCTAGCATTCCACTCATCAAAGCAGTAACAGCTCTTACCTTGATGAATTTTTTTGAATATTTGGAAGGCCACTCATCTCATCCTCATCATTTACAGCAGACCTACATGCACATTTATATCATTACAATAACCAGAGAAGGTACTTATATGAGTGTAATCATTGCAACGAAGTACAATTCAAAGCTGAAGCAGTTCTACACATTGAGACATGGATAATTAGCACAACATCAAATAAACTATTTTGTAAATAGAAGGATAAAATAAGAAATTAACCATTTTGAGGGCACTTCACTTGCATTCTGAAATTAATTCCTGCCAGCAACTTATAACAGAACTTAGACAAATCATTTTGTTACACTTGTATGCTTCTAACATTAAAATAACTTTTGCATATTAAAATTTACATTTTCATATTATTTCGTGAACTTTTAAAATACCAACAATTAGCTGGTGTCCTCTAACTACAGCCACCTATCTTGCAGATTTCAAAATGAAGGTAACATCAAGTGTATAATGTAACATCCCCGTCTCGAGCCGGTTCAATTAACATACATATGATACAAACAGAAACAGCGGAAGACTTAACTTACAAAAATATGAGCTAACTTTTTCTTTTTCTAACTTAATTCTTACTCGGCGTAAACGAAAATCGGGCAGAGTTTCCTCTATAAATCGGACAACTGGGGATTTTCCAATCCCACTCAGAAGCATTTCCTGATAAACAGTTTATACAACATATCAATTCAGAAATGCCAGATATCCAAATATAATCAAATACCCATACATGGGCGCATGCATAACATGGCTCCGTGCCACTAAATCTAACAGCATGCCATCAAAACATAAACCTATCTGAATACTACATCATCATATAACGTTCCTGAATACTCAAATGTACATGCATCAAACTGATAGACATGTACAAAACATATACAGGCCATATACAAAATAAAGGATCAATATCATGATCCATCAAATGCGAAAATACTAAAATACATCAAACACTCCAAAAAGGTAGTAGCCTACAGCCACTCAAAATCCGGTCTGTCAACTGCCTCAGCCACGTGTCGTGTCCCTGCCTAGTGAGGACTCACCGGAAATCTGGGCCCCTGAAAATGTGTCCCCAAAGAGGGGTGAGATTACAAATCTCAATAAGCTCCAGGTTTATAGAGAATTCTCCATACCCCTGGCTCACTCCTGCATGAAATTCAGATACAGAGTATACAAATACAACATATAACAGATATCATAACAGAACAGAGCATATATCCATATCATATCAGAGATGTGCGCCGTCATTCCCAAGGGAGGACCCCAAGCGGAAATCAACGCACGTGTTCCCGAGGGAGGACCCCAAAGCGGAACCAGACATATCAGAGGAGTACACCATCAGTCCCGAGGGAGGACCCCAAAGCGGACGTCCGGGTACTATACAATCAATGGCCAGAGATTGTTACAGAAATCATATTACAGAAGTCATATCAGAGCAAAACATATCATGTTATCAAATAACTCTATATGAATGCATCTATACAAAGCATCTAAATCACAGTCATACAGTCCAACCATAGTTCACTAACCATGGTGGAGCACTCAAGTAGGAAAAGACTCCTTAAACATAGAGCTTACCTCTTGAAGCTTTACCAATACGCTTACTTGTGGAACAAGTTACTTTTATCGCTTCAAGAGATTTCCGATCCTTCTCAATCCCTAGGCACACCTAGAGAATAATTTACAATGCATCAATAAAATGATGCAATACCATGATTATTTCATAAGCATACATTTTATCGCTTATTTTCCTTTCTTTATATTTTTGCCAATTCTATGCCAATACACAAGTCTAGACCTCTATACACCCGTTGGCGTTCTTTAATTTAATCAAGCATTTACTTAAGAATCTTTCACATAAATCATGTTATTTTTCTTTAAAAGTCGCGGGCGTACCCTTAGGGACTCAAGGTATTTTTCAACCATTTGTCAAAGCATTTCACTTCTTAGCTCATCCATTGGTATATTAAAATGCAACCCATTTTATTAGAATAAAATGTAACCAATATATATATATACCCCTAAACATCCTATAGTTCGCAACATAGAGCAAGTATTTGTAGGATTTTTTTCTAACTTTGGCATTTCCACCAATTAATCCATTTACACTACATTCCAACATATTTTACCTTTTCAAACATACAATAAAAATTTGCATGATAAACCCTATATAAGCCATGAAGGCCGAAACCTAGGGGAAGAGTGCACTAGGGCTTTTCAATTTTTTTATCACAAATTAATGCTTACTAAACACTATCATTCCTATACAACAACAATCCATCATAATTTTCACCTTCTAACATCAAATATTTCCCACTCAAAACATGCTCCAAATTTTCAAAACATAGATCACAAAATAATACCATAGAAATAAAGGTTTCTTACCTCTAATCACTTGTACAAAGCCTAGAGAATAACCTCCAAGCAAAGCTCCATCAAAAACCCACTTTTTCTCCTCCTATGAATAGTAATCCGAAAATAAGAGGAGGAATAACTCTTCACACACTCAACTATAGCTCAAATGGATAGGTGCAATGGATTCCTTGAGTGGTTCCTAATCAATTTCAAGTGGTGGGTCATAAGATTTGGTTGAGAATTCAAGAAGAAATCAACAAAACAAGCAAAACCCTAACCCCCCCCTTTTCCATGGCTGAAGCTCGGCCCTTCAAGAGAGAGAAGAAGAAATTTTTGCAATGAATAGTGATTCATTTAAGTGGCCAAGCTATTTAGGCACATGTGGCCCTTTTGTCGGATGTTTTTCTATCGCGTATTTCACTTAAATTTACCGGAAACTTAACTTAAAGCTACGGATATATTTTTATTTTTCTAAAGTTATTTAAATTAATTTTTATTTCCTAAGGAACAATATTCATAATTCACAGTATGGTTTTTGCACCGTTTTTAACGAAATGCACTGTGAACCACTAACTGTACTTTATTTAATTCTGAAACTTAACACTTATAAACTTATCATTTTCTTGGGCCTATATTGACTCGCTTGGCATATATTGGACTTTCTTATTCTTATTTCATCAATTATTTATTTCTGGACTCTACCGGTTGCTTAAACAGCAGTACAAAATACCCGGTAGAAACACTATTCACGAGATTTTCACGGAAAGTGCCAGACTATACAATTTTTCGTTCTGAACTCATATTTGTCATCAGAATTTTCAAATTATGTTCCTAAAATTATTTTGCTCATTTTAAGCTCTACCGGTTAATTCACAAAACTGTAAATTCTCCGGCAGAACGCACTGTTCATAACATAGTCATGATTACAGTCAAAATACTCGAAATCGCTCACTGAATCTAATTATGGCATTTAAATCCTTAAATTAAATCTCTAACTAAGATTTACCAGTTAGGGTCATTATATTCACCCCACCTTTTAAGGATTTTGCCCACAAAATCAAATATCAAATATACATATACCTGACATCAAACTCAGGATATCGCTGGAGAATTTCATTCTCCCGCTCCCAAGTGGCGTCCTCAGGAGTCAATCCTTCCCATTGTACCTTGATCATGGGAATAGTCCTGTTTCTCAACACTTTTTCATCACGTGCTAGAACCTTAAACGGTCCCACAACAAACTTCAAGTCTTTTCTTACTTCGATATTGTCCGGCTGTACAATGTGGGATTCATCCGGCACGTATTCGAAGTTGACTGATGTGAAAAACACTATGCAAATTTGACAGATGTGGAGGTAAAGCAAGCTGATAAGCCACAGGTCCGACCCTTTTCATAATCTGGTAGGGCCCAATGAACCTAGGACTCAACTTCTTCACTCCTAGAGCACGCCCAACACCCGTAGTCGGAGACAAACGGATAAATACATGATCCCCTTCTGAAAATTCAAGGGGTCTATGCTTTGCATCATAATAACTCTTTTGGCGACTCTGTGCTTTCTTCAATCGATCCTTAATCATCATAATTTGATCGGTAGTCTCTTGGACCATATCAGGCCCAAATAACTGCCTCTCTCCAATTTCTGACCAACAAGTAGGCGCCCTGCACCTACGGCCATACAAAGCTTCATACGGAGCCATGCCCAAACTGGCATGATAACTATTATTGTAGGAAAATTCCACTAGAGGAAGATATTTATCCCATGCATTTCCCTGCTCTAAGGCACAAGCCCTCAACATGTCCTCCAGGGTCTGAATAGTCCTCTCAGTCTGACCATCAGTCTGGGGATGATAAGCCGTGCTCAGCCTCAACTGTGTACCGAAGGCCTGTTGCACTGCATCCCAGAGTCTAGAAGTAAATTTAGGGTCCCGATCACTAATGATACTTTCAGGAACACCATGAAGTT